GAAACACAGGAATTGAAACCGACCAGTGTTTTTCAAGTTTCTTTTCCCATGTTAACTATGTTATGAAACGGAAGTAATTTCATGAAAAAAAAGCACACTTCTGTGACCCTCAATGTCAATGAGTGCTTATTAGCCCAATAAAACAGAATTTACCTACATTTGTGTATCATGACATATACTGAAAATTAAAAAAAAATGTGAAGAGAAATTGAACTATCTGGCATTGCAACAATTAAAAATTTTTATCCAAAATCATAACAGAGTTACTGTTTGAGGATTTCTGAGAGGCAGAAATAGTCCTTCATGTAAATTTGGGTGCTTAGAACATTACTCGAAGATATATCTGTATCCAGCTGACTAATTTGATGTTGCTCTGGAATGCATACCTCTAGCCAAGTCCAAGTGTGTGATCTCTGGAGAAGCATGCTAACATTCAGTTCTTTAGACAGTTTCTTTGGGAATTGAGGGGGCATCCTGCTCCCCATGGAAACCACGAATATGTGCTTCCAAAAAAGATCTTAGTGTTTTAGCAACATGGATACTAAGATTTGAATAATGTGCACAAGATTAACATGGTTGAGGCATTGATGAAATGAATTTGTGTTGTTTATTTTTTTCAAAAATAATTGTTCAAAGATGCAGGTAGTCTGAGACACAGGGAAGAAGTCTTGTCTTTAAGTTACACCTAGTGGCATTCATCTAATTTGTTTCAGCATCAGCATTAGGGGTTCAAGTTAGCTTAGATTCAATGTGTAGTATCTTGTTGCTTTTCTGATTGTTTATAAATAAGTATACAATATTCTGTATTAAAGGTCTTGCATTCTAATTCTACCTTCAATTATGGCAAAGTCATGTGATTATTTCATATCCTACTTTATTAGTCAAAACAATAATGTTATCGTTAGTATGCCTTAATTTCCATTATCTTTCCTTTAAAATGGCTAAAAAAAATGGAATCAGACTTATTTAATTGAAACTTGACTAGTGCTTAATAACTGTATGTAAAATGGTGCCAGAATTTTTGTTTTATTTATTTACAGTGGTGTGCTTTTATTTATAAATTTTAATTTGTAAGTTTCATTATAGCATTACTATCGCTGGCAAACAAAGTTAGAATTCTACTTACTCTGATACATAGCTCTATCTGTTCTTATCGGGTCCTTGAATATTTCTCACTATATGTGTGATACGAATATTACCATTTTTACTAGAGATGGTGTAGAAAAAATTTTTGTGATCTTATGGAAAAGTTCTCTAAGTATCAAGTTTTTTATGTGAAATTTTTTATAGCAAAGATTTCAAGCTTTGTAATCCCCTTTTAAGCCCTTTTAAATCTCTTTTCCTTCTCTGTCTTCCTCTGAATACTTGTTTTTCTACTTTCCTCCCTTTGTCTGTTTTTCCTCCTCCCTTTACTCTTAAAATATTTAAGCATAAAGATAGATTAAATAAATTAAACAAAAGGATGTATTAAATACAAAAATATCTATAAATACAAAACATAAATATGAATATGCACATATATAAGTAAGTAAAAGTATTCTCAGCTCAAGTGTAGGCAAAAAGTAGTTAGACTAGTGGCATGCCTCTCAGAAATCCAGCATGCTCACACATTGCTGGTAGAGACTGGAACTTGTTGAAAATACATGTGGAGACGCACAGTTCTTGAGGTGGACCCCAGGTCATGTTTGTCTGTCTTTCGGTAATGCCTGCGATGTAAATTACTAGCCGTTTCTTAAATATCAAAACTTTTCAGGCTTAGTGATTTCAGGTCACTTTGTGTGATGGACGGCTCTATTTAAAGGCTTGGATTTGCAATCCCCTAATGAATTCTGCAACAGCTCAGCTTTGTTTTTTGACAAAACAGTGGAATTGTTTTGACCTATAATTTAGAATTCCAGTGGTAGCCCCCCTGCACACTTTCCTCCGTCTCCCTCAGCAGTAGCCCTTACAATTTTAAAGGCATAAGAAACCCAATTCCCCTCTCTCATGCACCTTCTCTCCTACACGAAATATAAATGTCAAAGATTTTATAAACTTACACAAGGTTGTCTGTTGGCTCCCAACCTAATAATTATTGTGTAATATCTAAATTTAAGTGGTTTCAAAATTTGTTCCCATGTTTTCAATGCATTTTAAAATTTAGGTTGTGGCTATATTTTTGAATAAATACATATATATGTGTTTGTGTCTTTTCTGACTGGCAGGATTTTTCAGTTATATTTTACGTGTTAGTTATTATATGCCTGATGCATACATTTACAGATCTGATGATAGACATGAAAACAGGAACCTAATTGCTTGGAATGAACAATTTCAACTTGCATGTGATGTATTTTTCTTTATTACTTGCTAAAATTTGCTTTAGTGAGATACAATTTATAATACAAAATTAACCCATTTAAAATAGACACTATGTTTATTGAGTCAATAGAGCCATGTTGTCGTCACTGTGATCCATTTTAGGATGTTTTCATCACTCCCTCGAGATGTTACATATGTGTTAGCAATAACTCAAAATTGATTTTTCTCTTTCCACCCTACTCTTGTTTTTGTAACTACTTATCTATTTATATCTCTGTAGAGTTTCCAATTCTGGGCATTTAATACAAATTGAATCACACAATATATGACATTCAATATCTAGCTTTTTTTTGTTTTGTTTTTTATATTCTTTCATGTTGTTGAATATTAGCATTTTATTCCTTTTTATTAGTGAGTAATATTCCAGTATACAGATACATCATGTTTCAATGACCTTTATTACATTTTATTCAGTAGATGGAATTTTCCCCTAGTTTTCTGAACATTGTGGTAACATTGCTATAAATGTTCTTGTTTAATGTTTGTATGAATATATGACTTAATTTCTCTTGTATGTAATAGGGAAATTGCTGGATCATATGATAAGTAACTTTTGAGAAAGTTCCACATCCATGCCAAAGTGGCTGTCCAGAATTCTGTAAAGGTTTTCATTTTTTCACATTCCTGACAGTATATGTCATTGTATATAATTTTTATTATAGTCATTCCAGTAAAGTGAAGCTCTGAGCATTGGTGTAAATTTTTTTTTTTTAAGATTTATTTACTTTTATTACAAAGCCAGATATACAGAGAGAAGGAGAGGCAGAGAAAATTTTCAGTCTGATGATTCACTCCCCAAGTGAGTGCAATGGCCCGTCCTGTGCTGATCCGGAGCCAGGAGACAGGAACTTCCTCCAGGTCTCCCATGTGGGTGCAGGGTCCCAAGACCTTGGGCTGTCCTAAACTGCTTTCCCAGGCCATAAGCAGGGAGCTGGATGGGAAGTGGAGCTTCTGGAATTAGAACTGGCACTCATATTGGATCCTGGTGCATTCAGGGCAAGGACTTTTAACTACGAGGCCATGCTGCCGGGCCCTGGTGTGAATTTTGATGGACAGTTCTTTAATAGTTAATGATACTGAGCATTTTAATATTTTTTCTGATTTATTTGAGAGGGAGAGAGAGACTGAGACAAACACAGATCTTACATTTTCTGGTTTACTGTCCTACATGTCTACAACATCTGAAAATGGAGTGGTCAAGTCAAGCCAGGTCTTCCATGTAGGTGGCTGGGGCAAAACTACGTAAGCCATCACCTGCTGCCTCTCAGGGAGTACGCTAGCAGGAAGCTGGAAGTGGAAACCCGCATGTGAACCCAAGCACTGTGATGTGGGATGGATCCTTCCTATGAGCACCTTGCTAAATTTTCATCCTGACATTGAGCATCTTTTAATGTGTTTCTAGCTGTTTATCTAACTTCTTTGTCCATTAAAACACTTTGCCCATTGAAAGATGTGTATTTAGTTGTTATGATATTTTTTATATTTAACTTTTATTTTTCAATATATAATTCTGTAGGCTCAGTGCTTTCCTCTCCCAAGTTATGAATTCTTTTTTAAAGATTTATGTGTTTATATTGCAAAGGCAGATATGCAGAGAGGAGGAGAGACAGAGAGAAAGATCTTCCACCTTATGATTCACTCCTCAAGTGGCGATAATGGTAGGAGCTGAGCCGATCTAAAGCCAGGAGCCAGGAGCCAGGAGCCAGGAGCCTCTTCCTGGTCTCCAACATGTGTGCAGGGTCTCAAGGCTTTGGGACATCCTTGACTGCTGTCCCAGGCCACAAGCAGTGAGAGCTGGGTGGGAAATGGGGTCACCGCAACATGTATGGGCACCTACATGAAATCCTGGTATATGCAGAGCAAAGACTTTACCCGATAGGTTACTGCACCAGGCACCAAGTTACAAATTTTTAAAGTATCAGATTGCATTAAAACATTTATGGAAAATGAAATGTTTAAAATCCATGTATTTGGGGGGTAGTGTTTATTATTATGAGTTATTTGAAACCTGATGCCCCGATTACAAAAGAATCTGGCCTGAAATATGCTTACCTTTCAGTTTCATTTTCCATGAACTTCTTTTTTTGACCTACCATAAAATATTGTATAATTGGCTAAATTATCAAAATGCTTATTAGGTATGCTTTTTTTTTTTAAAGTTGATTTCAATATACCTACAGAGCAGAGAGGGAGAGGGGTAGACATACCTTCCATCTGCTGGCTCCACGAGGCATCAGCTGGAAGCTGGCTTGAAAGTAGAGTAGCACTTGAAGAGGCACTCTAAAATGGTGCGTGAGCAGAGCAAATGATTTAAACCAAAATGCTGCTTCCTAAATCTTACTGCTAATTTGTTTACAGAATTTGCATTTTTTCCTTTTCATCTTTTATGTTGCTCAGTTATGATTCATGGAACATGATAGTATCATGAGAATGGTCATATTTATGTACTGCTCCTTTGTATCATTTCATAGAGAAATTGGGATGAGTTATGGGGTACACTAGGAACAAGAGTAAAATGTAAATATATTACTAGAAGTCAAATAAATAAAACTTTCCATTCATTATTAAACCTTATTTGAAACCTAAGGTATAGCTGAGGCCCGGTCACAGCTTGTCTTTTATTCTGTCCTGTCCTATAGGATCTCGTCTGCGTCAGGAGGACTTTCCCCCACGGATTGTGGAGCACCCTTCGGATGTTATCGTTTCCAAGGGCGAACCCACCACTCTGAACTGTAAGGCCGAGGGCCGGCCGACGCCCACCATTGAGTGGTACAAGGATGGGGAGCGGGTGGAGACGGACAAAGATGACCCCCGTTCCCACAGGATGCTTCTGCCCAGCGGATCCTTATTCTTCCTGCGCATTGTGCACGGACGCAGAAGTAAACCCGATGAAGGAAGCTACGTTTGTGTGGCAAGGAATTATCTAGGAGAAGCAGTGAGTCGAAATGCATCCCTGGAAGTGGCATGTAAGTCGAAGCCCCGTTTCCACACTCACTTGTATTTAGTTTTCATAGGCTTTTGTTCACTCTCAAACGTACTTGATATGCAAAGAATAAAACAACATGCTACCTGATTTCACTTTGCCCTTTCAGAAGAAATCTGATCTAAGTAAGGTCAAGTTAGGTGTTGCAGCAAATAAGTTTGTCTTAAAGGAATGTGGAGATTATGTCAGGTTAAAAATAGAATGGCAATTATGCTGTTCATATTTGAAATGTGAATTATTAATGAGAAATATAATAAAGTATTAAAGTTCGGTAAATGAAGATGAATGAAAAGAATTTGTGGCACACCATCAAATACAAGGGGCAAATTCAATGTTGTGCCTGTTTCTGATACCTATTTGGCTGTAAGTAATAATATGTGACGTTTGTAGGTTTGTGTATGGTTGTGTAAAAACACACACATGTATGTGTACATAACTGCAGATATACAATACATATATGTGTGCATATATATTATTAGTATATCTTATGCCAGACAGCTTTAAAAAGAACCTGTTATATTTTTGTTTAGATCATTGTAGTTATTACTTCCCACATAAATTACTTCTAGCACGTAATTTTAGCCTAGATGGGAAGTGTTGACTGCATAAGCAGCGGTAGCAATAGCAACTATAGTTTTTTTTTTCCTGTCTTTTGCTTTGTTTGGTGGTAAAATTCATCAGAGAAAAGGTCTGCTTTCTTAGGGAACAGAATGTTGGTGCTAAGGAATCCGCAGTAGCTAAAGCTTTGCCCTGGTTTTTGTGTTTTTGTTTATTCATTGGAATGATAAATCCGGATATCAGTATATTGCATCTGATTGAACTGTGGCTCTGGAACTTCAAGAATTATTTTTAGAACAATTATGAAAGTAGAAAACTTTTTTCTGGTGGATAGGTGAAGATATTGGATAACTATCATGCGATTGTAAGAATTTAAGTTACCTATTTTGAGCATAGATTCTTCCCAAAGTGAAATGGTAGACCTAGTGAACAATTTGAGGCCTCAGTTATGCCTGAAAGCAGATCTAGTTTTCAACTTTCTTGTTGTAAAATAGGTCTTCATAGGGAATGTGTTGAATATCAAGATAACTGGGACTTATTTTAATGGCTGGAAGAGAAAGTAATCAATGATAGCTCATGATCTCTAGTCATCAATTAAAGTTGATACTTACCACATGTTAAGTCATACTAAGTTACAAAACTTTGTGGATGTGTATGAGAATCCTCAACAACACACCATTGTCATGCCCAAAATATTCTTTTTCAAACAAAATTTTATGGTTGCTTATGCCACACCCCGATTGAAAGCTTTGTACTTACTCATCTAGTCTTCTGATTTCTAGTTTCTGCCAATAAATTTGGAAACCAGTGAATTTTGTAAAAAGTAACTTCAATAGAGTAAGCATAGATAAATCCCAAGACCCACCATATGTGCAGTATGGTGTTAACTAGCAGTGACAGTTGGAGCCTGGTAATTTCATTCTTATAAAATCATACTTCACATAGTACTTAAGCAAAACGTAGCATGGTGAGATTTTAAAATGTATCTAGAAAAGCTCAAAAATGCCAACATTCTGACTATTCTCACCTTTATTTTGAAATATTTCTTTCTGGAGCTATTTAAGCTTATGAAATGTTTCAGTGACATTTTCTGTTTTTTTTTTTTTTTCTGGATGGGGGCCAGCAAATCACTTTTTTGGTGAATGACATGCATTTTTCTCCCACTTTAAAGATGAGGAAAATGAAGTCTATGATGTTTAGGTGACTCAAATTTAGACAATATACTAAAAGTGTGTCTAAGACCAATCCTGAATTCTGTACTGTTTAGTTTTAGAAATTGCCTCAGTATTGGAAGAAATGATGTAACATGAAATCTCCCCTCTTTATATTTTAATATATTTTTTATCTAGTTCAAGTCCTTGATGAACTTTACTTATCGAAATTAAATTTGATCTAAACTGGCCAGTCTGTTGCCTTTGGGATCACATAAAACTTATTCCTCCCTCTGAGTCTTAGTTTTGTTTATATTGCTCCCAACACACATTCATCTAGCTTATTTCGTCTAAAAGAATTGCTGTATTTCCTAATTATATCATTAATAATTAAATTCCCTTAGGAAGAAATATTTAAACCAATGTATTTTTCCATGTGTTGTTACCAAAGTGTCTTTTATTTTCAAATAAATGTGCTTTAAGAAATGTATATATTACTTATGACCTGGAGAGGAAAACAGGAAAGATGCCAAATTGGATTTAGCTTGTGAATAAAATTCTTTCTTCTAATTCCATGTCAACAGTTTTTACCATTGAGGAAATACAGACTATATAATATTTCCTTTCTCTTTCCATTAGTTCATCTGTCCTCTGTTACCTTGTATATTCTGTAAGTCGTTAATATGGAAATTTGGATGTAAGCGTTGTGGTTTTTCAACATCTATTTGTTACTAAAGTGTATTTAGAAAACTAAAAAGGAACAACCACAGATTATATACTTGCTCTTTCTTCAAGATTTGGAAAGTAGAATATAAATGCTCCATATAGTGTCATGTTTTCATGCATTAACAAATGGAAAATAGCTTTCTTTTGGAATAATACTGGTTAGAATATAGCAATGAAGAAGGAACAGTATAATTCATCCACAAATAACTCTACCTGTTGGAATGATACACATGAAAGCAAATGTTCTGAATCAAAAATTAGATAGACAGTACAAGATAGTCAGGAGCCCAAATAGGAAAATATTTGATGCTTTATATAGATGTCCATTTAAGAAAAAATTCTAAGGGTATGTTACTTAAATTCTAATGTAACATCAAATGAACATGTCTTAGATGCAAATTGAAGTGAAAGATTATCCTGGTAGAAGATTGGGACAGTCTAACTGGACACTGTCTTGGCTGATTTGGATTTGCTGGTATCTCAGAATGAGGTGGGTGGCTGGAAAGCATTGAAAAGTTAAGCATGTGCAGAGTCATAAACTTCAGATGTTTTGGTTATGTGCTAAGCCAAGTCTTTGAAAGAGAAAGATTGTATTAAAGGATTAATGATTGAAGTCTGAGAGGAGTTAAGTGTTAAAAAAAAAAACAGGTAAGAGGTTGATGCTAGTTCTGTTCTGAAAAAATGCAATGAGGATAGGAGGAGTTAATTTGAAATATATTTACAAATTTCAAGGGACATCACATTAATGTCAGTTTAGGAATGACAATGATTTGAAGACTGTTTTTTTCCCTTTAGCTGAGTAACTGTGTGTATTGCACTACATCCATGCAGAGATGGATGTGGAGAAACAACTACAGTGGGACTGGGAGAGTCCAATCAGCTGTGCATGACTGTTGCCTTAACAAAGAGATATCAAAACAACTCATCTCAAGATTCTCATATAGAGATTGCAGTCAGGAGAAGAAATTGTAGCAGAGCTGATGGTCTGCACAGGTTGTGTGTAGGGAGTGGATCGAAGTGTGAAATTCACATTGAAGCTCAAATATTTAATGCACATAAATGAAAGAACTATCAGTGGAAGAAGGTCAGGTTCAGAATTTGTCGAAGTCGTAGGATGTGGGAAGCCAAGATATAAGAACCATTAATATTTTTGTTAAAAATTTATGAATGTGTATATTTGTATATGCATATGTCTGTCTGTATTTGAAAGGCAGAGTGACAGAGCACACATAAAAGAGAGATGTGTGAGAGCTTCTATCCACTGTTCACTTCCCAAATGACTGTACCTGCCATGGCTGGCTCAGGTGGAATCCGGCTGCTTGGAAGTCCATCCAGGTTTTCTACATTGATGGTGAGAGTTGAATCACCTGAATCATCATCTTCTGCCTTCCAAGACACATTAGCAGGGATGAGGCTTGAAACTGGAGAAACCAGGATTCCAACTGTGTGTCATATGGAATGCTGATATCCCAGGCAACAAACTTAACTGATTGCATCCCAATGCTGGCCCCAAAGAATATTTTTAAGAAAGAAAATATGATTGGTACAATACAAATGCCACAAAATAGCCACATGAGGGGCTGGTGTTGTGGCACAGAGATAAAAGTTGCCACCTGATGCTGGTATCCCGTATAGGTGCCAATTTGTGTCCTGACTGCTCCACCTCTCACCCAGCTACATGCTGATGTCCTGGACAAAAAGCAGCAATAGAAGGCCCTACTGTTAGAGCCCTTGCCACTCACGTGGAAGCCCTGACTACACCTTGGTTCAGCCTTGGCAGTTCTCACCTGATGCATGAACCAGCTGATAGAATGGTAGATGTCCCCTTTGCTGTAGTTGGCATGGTAAATGCTATCTGTTTGTTCAGGGACGTAGATCACAATGTGATAGTGGGTATTTTGGGGGTGGGGTTGTGGGGAAAGAGGGACCCAGAGAGGGACATGGAATCCTGTGCATTTGTTCCATGTGGGAATAGGCAATTATTGTGGAGAGTTTGTACTTTGTGTTGTAAGGTATTCAGAATAATTTCCAGCCTTTAATCATAATATAACAAAATGCCCTTACAGTTCCAGTTGTGACAAACCAAAATATTTCCAGATTTTGTAAAAAAAATGTCCCATGGGGGAATAAAATCATTTGAGGATCACAAATTCAGGTGTGTGTAAGTGATGAAGCATTCACTGAACCAACAAGTAGAAAAATAATCTTGCTATCTATAATTTTACTGGTGAGACAATAATTGGTGAAGATAACTTCATTTAGGCTTTTATTTTACTTTCAAAAATCTCAGATGTCCCTCTATTATGGTGTGAATTTTAATTTATATGTTTCTGTGTTGGCTTTTTGTATAGAATAGGAGTCAGCTGTTTTTTTTTTTTTTTTCTGCTTAACACTTGCTTTGATCCTTCAGCTTTACGCAGGGGATCACGGTGTGCAGCAGCATGGAAATCAGTCATTGCGTTGGAGATGAACCCACTGGTCTCATATTTGACTTTTCCCATCTTGGCTTGGGAGAAATAATAGCAATCCAGAATGTTTGAAAAGATAG